TAGTTTTCCTTTTGGGTGATGTCTTTTCCTGGTTTTGGTATTAAGGTTATGCTTGCTTCATAAAATGAGTTAGGGAGGATTCCATCCTTTTCTATGTAGTCAAATGCTTTTTGATCACAACATCACCAGAGCTCCTTATATTTATGCTTAAGGGGGGAAAAGGTTATGATACAGAAAAGCTACAAGCATGTCTCTACTTAACATTAGTTTATTCTAAGCACATCTCTATGAAGTGTAAGCACAACTTATGCTCTTTAACATTTATGTGAGGAAGGTCAGTGAAACTGTATTTTTCTGTAGAACTGCTCATATCTGGGTCAAAAGCGCAGTGGACATTTTCAAAAAGATGACAGGCTGCATTGTATGACAGGCAATTTTAAAAGACACACAATAGAGTGACTTAGGACCGGGAGAGATTTGGCCTGGACTTGGGTTAGAAGGCTTAGCCATGTTGAGTCTTAGTCTTTAGAATACTCTTCGTCATGCCTCAGCTCTCCTGTTTATTTTTTACTATTCTGGCTCCTCTAAATGTCCCCTTTAAGTCTCTATCCAAGTGTATTGTTCAATGTTTTCAAGAATAAATGAGAATCACATTGAGCCAAAACCCTCCGAGAGACCATCACAGTCACTGCTCAGTTTAATTCTCTCTCTCCTCAGGTTTGAGTGTGTCCTGCTGAGTCTCTGATGTCTTAACTGTTTTTGCTCTCTATGGATGTTTTTCCAGAGCTATTTCTGCCATTATTTGTTGAAAAACTACAATGTTTTGGGTGGGGGAACCTTAAACAAGAGAAAAGTTGATTTCTTCGTCATCTAATGTAATTCTGGGGCAGACAGTCCATAAGCAGAATGGTTAATCCCACCAGGCCGTCAGGAACTTGGTTTTTGATCTTTCTGTTCACCATCCTCAGCATATGGTTTCTACTCTATTGGCCAAGGTAGTTGTTCTATCTCCAGTCATTACATGTGCATTCCAGGCAGCAGAAAAGAAGGAACAAGGTAGGAATACAGGCCTTTCTCTTTTAAGGAAACTTACCAAAAGCCCACACAACACTTCTGCTTACAACTCATGGGTTAAACTCAGTTATAAAGTGGTACCTAGAAAACATGCCTCCTCTCAGGAGGAACTTGAAAATGCAATCGATACAAGGATAGAATAAGCTCTAAGGAGCTCAGGTGGCACAGTGCCTAAGGCATTCGACTGCTAACCAGAGGTTGGTGGTTCCAACTCACTAGCCACTCTGCAGAAGGAAGATTGGGCAATCTACTTCTGTAAAGTTTTACCACTTCAGAAACTCAGTGGGTGTCACTATGAGTCAGAATCCACTTGATGGCAGTGGTTTTATTATTATTATTATTATTTTTGTGTGTGTGTGTGTAGCTTAAAACAGCACATTTATTCTCTCACATTACAGGACAGAAGCTCAAAATCAGTATGACATCAGTATGTTGTTGTTGTTGTTGTTGTTGTTATGTGCCGTCCAGTCGGCCCCGACTGATAGCGACCCCTCCTTGGGTTTCTGAGGCAGTATCACTGTGGAAGTAGATTGTCCAACCTCTCTTCTAAGGAGTGGCTGGTGGGTTTGAACCTCCAGCCTTCTGTTAGCAGTCAAATACCTTAGGCACTACTCTGTATCTACAGGCCCGCTTGAGGGTTATTAGCGCTTCGCGGCGACCTGTATAACTGTAGAAACTACATTACCCAGAAAGCCGTGCGCGGAGCGGCAGCAATGTTCAACCAATGAAAACTCAGAAAAGGAGCCTTTCGTCTTGCGCTCATCACGTCAGGGCGGAACATCCGGCGTCTTCCTCCTCGCGGTCATTTTGGATGTTCTCACATCTGCTTACAGATTAGGGGCTACGATAAGACGCTGCGGACCGAACAAGCGTGAGTGGAGGCTTTGTCATCAATGCAGAGAGGCGTGTGTGAGGCTCCACTGCGGCCCCGCCCAGGGTGACCGCGCCAGGACCAGGCTGGGAATGGCTCTTTCCAGGTCGCGTCCCGGTCGCCCGCTTCTCCGGAATACTCCGGGGCCACAGGCTCCGATGGCGGCGGCCGCGCTGAGGCACTTGGCTCAGGTAAATGTTCGTGTAAATGCTCGCAGGTGCGACTGGGCCGGCAGCGCTCGAGAAGCCCGGAGACCCTCTGTGTCGTCAGGGAACAGCGAGTGGTAGGGCTCCAGCCTGGAGTAGGCTTCTCGGGACGCTGGGCGCCGTGCAGGGTTGGGAGCAGAAGAGGGACCTGTTGTGTGGTGGGCTTTACAATGCTTTCCCTGAGTGTATGGGAGCTGCTGTGTGGAAAGTGAGTTTGCTCTGAAAACTTCCACCCAAATCACAATTGTTGTCGTTGTGTGCCGTCGAGTCGGACCCTACTCATAGCGACCCCTCCTTGGGTTTACGGGGCGGTATCACTAGGGAAGTAGATTGTCCAACTTTCCGAGCAGTGGCTGGTAGGTTTGAATCAAATGCCTTAGGCACTACGCTACAAAAGAGTAAAGGGTCCTGACACGTGGCGCACGTGCACACACACACACACACACACACACAAGCTTTCCCCAGGCTGCTTAGGGGCAGACCGCGTTGTAAGGGAGGTAATCAGAGTGAGGCCCAGGGAGGTTGAGTCCCTGCCCAAGGGACGCCTGGTAAGCGTTGGCACTGCGCAGTGCAGCACCGAGGTCGCCGGGCTCCAGGGGCCCAGCCATTGTCCCCTGCCTCTCATGGGCTCCGTTTTCTCGGGATTTGCCGTGGCTGCGGAAGTGCCTTATGGATCCTCTCCCGGTGAGTGGAGTATGTCCAGGGACTTACAGTTCCTGACCCCATCTGTATGGTGTCTGGGATTGTGCTGTCAGGGAGCTCGGGTGGCCTTGTGGTTAAAGCATTTGGCTGCTAACCAGAAGGTTGGTGGTTTGAACCCACCAGCCTCTCCATGGGTGAAAGATGAGGCAGTCTGCTTCTGTAAAGATTACAGCCTTGGAAACCCTATGGGGCAATTCAACTGTCTGAGGGGTCGCTATGAGTCAGAATCAACTCCACGGCAGTGGGTGGGTTTTTGGAATGCTTTACCTCCGCTTACCTAGCCAGCCCTTGGGCCAGGAGACACTAAACTGACCTCAAACATAGGGTGCAGAGTTGAAGGCTTGTGGTTGGCAACCAAGGAAAGCAGTGTGGAAGGTAGTCCTAGGCACACGTGGTATTGTGTGTGAATACTTGGAGTTGAGACTGAGCTGGAAGAATTCAAGGAACCACTGATTTCTTTTTCTCATGGGAAGAGAGAGCAGGGGCCAGGAGTCGGACTTGGAATGTCTTCCTGAGAAGTTGAGTGACTAATCTGGAGATGATGGGAGCAGTGGGAGTTTGGAGCAGAGGAGCGATGAGATTTGACCCAGGTTCCCTGTGCCTGCAGTATGGAGATGGCAGGAAGACTAGGGTGGAGGCACTGTAGCAGTCCAGGTGTGTATTGAAGGCGGCTGGACCAGTGTGATGGCCGTGGAAGTGCAACATTTGTGTTTTCTGTATCTAATTTTTATTCAGTCTAAGAAGAGCTGCCTGGATTTTCTGATATTGAGGGCGAAAGAGTAAGGTGGGAGCCAGGGATGACTGTAAGTTTGTTTTTTTTTTGGACTTTTTTTAGGATTTTGATTTGCTTGGTTTTTTTTTGTTTGTTTGTTTGTAATTTTTATTGTGATTTGGATGAACGTTTACAGGGCAAATTCATTTTCCATACAGCAGTTCATACGCATTTTGTGTCATGACATGACTGCAAATCCCCACAATGTAACAGGTCTCTTCCCATTTCATCCCTGTAGGTACCTCTGCTCTGTGTCCCTTTTTCTTATGCATTCCTCCCCCC